TAGTCCACTAAATGAAAATTACAAATTCTTTCATTGGCTATGTTAAGATTATCTTCATTAATTTATATGATTGTTTTCTGATTTTTAATCTATATATTTTTCTTTAGAATTGTATTTTACAGTAAAGAATGTTACATAATGTTAAATGTTGAAACTGGTGAATATGTTTATATCATTGATTTACTTATTACACATCATATACATGCATGTTTCTAAAGATCATTCTGTGCCCTAAAAAGATGTGTAATGATTATATTTAAATCATAAATTACAATAAATGCTGAAAGAGAAAAAATACGTAGGGAGCAGATAGTGGCACAACAGTAAAATGCAAGGCTAACCCTTATGGGAAGATTCTGGGATAGTACCTGGAGACCTCTTTGAATATGCTGGCCATGTGCCTATCCATGATCCAGGGCTGAAGGAGGTGGTGCATTGTGACGTGAAAACCCTTTTGGGGATGTTCTCTCTCTCTCTCTCCCTCTCTCTCTCTCTCTCTCTCTTTCTTTTATGCTTGCTTTTCTATTTCTCTAGCTAATGTAAGAAATAAATAACCATTTAAAAAAAGAAAAGAAAGAAAGGCTGTGAGATATAGCCAAAGTAAAATTAAGAGAAAAACCCACAGAATCAAATGTCTATATCAGAAAGAAAGATGGCAAATGAGCAACCTAACAATCCATCTACAGTAATGAGAAAAGCAAGAACAAATTACACTCAAATTAGTAGAATGAAAGAAATAATAATCATCAGAGTCGATATAAATAAACACACCCAAAAAAAGACCACAGCCACGCCAAAGATGAAGACCCAAATGAATGAAATCAGAAACAAACAAAAAAGGCATTGCAACTGATACCTCAGAAATACAAAGGATTACGAGAGATTACTGTGAAGAACTATAAACAAAATAGTTGAAAAACTTAGAAAAGATCGTCGACAGAAAATAACCAAGTCTAAAAAATAATAATGAATGTGGTTTATTTTCAGGCAGAATATGATTGATCTAGACCTGGAGAGGAGGCAAACATGCCTTTCTCGGGATGACCAGATACTGGGGTTCCTTTTATTTGATTTTGAAAGTGACAGACAAAATTAGTGAAGAGATTTCCATTGGTCTGGCCCAAAAAGGTGGGGCATGTGGAAGCTAGAGCTTGTAGGTTATAGGTGGGTTCCACAATCTTTAGGTAGGTAATTGGAAGGGGAAATCTGTGTCCTGGGAAGAGATTCATAGAAGAAATGCTTAATCTACAGCTCAAGGAAAGGGAAGTTCTGTGTCTTAGGAAGAGATAAACAAAAGAATATACTGTAATATACATTTGTAATATACATTTCAAAGATACTATGCCAAGGACAGGATGTAGGGAGAATCCTGTTAATGAAAAAAATGCTCTGTTAATGTTTGTAGGTGTGACTCCCCCTAGGCCCTCTGGAAAGAACTTTGGAAAAATAGGAAAAAGCAGTCAGACTTCTGTCCACAAAATGAATAAACTCTTGAAGTAAAATAATTTACTAAGATTAAACAAGAACAAATATAGAGCTTGATTAGACCAACAGTAAGTAACATGATTAAATAAATCAGCAATTTAAAAGTCTCCCAAAAAAAGAAAATCTCAGGACTTGAGGTTTTAACTGTTGAATTCTATCAAACTTTTACAGAAGAACTAATACCACTTCTCAGACTATTTTAAAGACTCAAGAGTGAGGAATCTTCCCAAATTCATTTTACAAGGTCCAATTGCCCTGGTCCCCAAAGCAGAAATGGACACAACAAAAAAGAAAACTACAGACTAATATCCTTGATAAAGCTAGATAATAAAATCCTAACAAAATACTAGGAAACAATATTCAACAACACATAAAAAGATTATACATCATGATCAAGTAGTGTTCATACTAGGGATGCATGTATGGTTCAATCTACATAAATCAATACACATGATGCATTACATAAGTAGAATAACAGACAAAAAAAAATCACTAATCATCTTAATACATTCTGAAAAAAGGATTGATAAATTACAGCATCCTGGACTAGCATGTGTGTGGACATGAAAGCAACTATATCCCACAAGGCCAACTGAGAAGTTCAAGTCCTGGACCAAGGTGCTTAAAAATCATGCAAGGCACATGTACGTGCATGACCAGGATCCTGAGAAGACAGTGGGGAAGAAGGGCTTGTAGTGTGGCCATTGCTCCTGAAGGGTGATTTCTCATTTTCTCTGTTTCTGGAGAATACACATGTCCAACAGCAAAACTAAAACAGCAAACCAACAATAACAATGAAAAACAGTATTGCTTAATAATAAAAGTGCTCAACAGATTAGATATAGATGTCACATATTTCAACATGTTAAAGGTCATATATCCCAATCCCAAAAGAGGCATCATAGTGAATGGAGAAAAGTAGAAATCTTTTCTTCTAAGAACTAAAACAAGACAAGGATGTCCACTTTTTTTTCAACATAGTACTGGAAGTCTTAGCTAGCACAATTAGACAAGAAAAATAAAGGACATCCACATTGGAAAGAAAGATGTCAAATTGTCTGTTTGCAGGTGACAGTGACATGATCATAGAAAAACCAAAGGACTCCATCAAAATTTCTTAGAACAGATAGATGAATTCAGTAAATTTGGAAGCAATAGTATTAACATACAAAAATAAATTGCAATAATGAATTTTGTATTCACACACAAAAATAAAAACCAATAAAGAATTAGCCAAAAAATAATCAAGCAACTAAAGACATTTACAATAGTTACACAAAATAAAATGTCTAGAAATAAATTTAAGTGATGAGGTGAAAAATCTCTATAATGACAACCATGAAACACTGCTGAAACAAGTTAAAGAAGATATAAAAAAAGATATTCTATGTTCATTAATTGAAATAATTAATATTCTTAAAATGCTCATACTATTTAAAGTGATGTACGGATTCAATGCAATCCATATTAGAATATTTCAGAATAAAATTACAGTGCACTTGTCACTAGATTTTAGCTATATCTGTCCAGAATAAAATTACAGTGCACTTGTCACTAGACTTTAGCTATATCTGTATTTTTAGTTTAATTAAGATCTGTGAATCAATAAAATGTGAAAAAAAGTTTAGTATAGAAGAGAGGGAGGGGGGAAGGGAAGTACACTATAAAGATATATGTGATTAAACATAAATAATTTTTTAGAAAAGAATACCAATGTAATTGTTTACATAAATAGAAAAAGATCATAAAATTCAAACATAATCACAAAAGTCCCTAAATAGCTATAGTTTTTTTTTGTTGTTATTGAAAAGCTATAAATAGCTATAGCTTTTTTGTCAAATTACTTGACTCTAAAATATAGTACAAAGCCATAATAACCCAAAGAGAAGAGTACCGGAACAAAACAGACACATAGACCATCGAACAACCCAGAAATAAATCAATGTGTTACGGCCAACTGGTTTTCAACAAAGGTGCCAAGAACATTCATGGAAGAATGAGGAAATTAGATAGCTATATTTAGAAGAAATGAACTAGAACCACTATCTCTCACGATATAAAAATATTAACAGGGGACCAGCAGTTGGCATAATGGCTATGTCGCTGTACTGCCATGTGGTCGAAATCAGTTCAAGTCCCGAACCCAGTAGCTTAAACTCATGCCAGGCGCATGTGCATGTGTGCCCAAGATCCCAAGAGGAGAATGGAGGAAAAGGGATTGTGGACATTCCCCCTGGGGCATGATTTCTCGCTTTCTGTCTCTGTCTCTCTCTGTCTTTCTGGTGAGTGCTTGTGCCCTATAGCAAAAATCTCTCCAAAAAAAGAAATATTAACTAAAGATGGATTAAAGACTTAAGTAAAAGATCTCAAACTATAAAATTACTAGGGAAAATCATAGGAGAAGAGCTTTAGGACAGTAGTATGAACAAAGATCTTTGGACAGACCTTAAAAGCATGGGCAACAAAAGCAAAAATAGACAAATGAGATCATATCAAGTTAAAATGCTTTTGCACAGCAAGGTTAATAAAACAATAGAGAGCAAAGATTACCTGCAGGATGGAATAAAATATTTTCAAGCTGTACATCTGACTAGGGATTAATAAAAATGTAAAAGAAACTCAAACAACTCACCAGGATAAAAAAATATATAATTTCATTAAAAAATCAGTTATTGATCTGAACAGACAGTTCTCAAAAATAGATACACAAATTTTCAACAAGTATATGAAATAATGTTCAACATCACTAAACATCAGTATATGCAAAAAGCATTGAGGCATTGCTTCACTAAAGTTAGAATAGTGGTTATCATAAAAACAGTAACAAATAAAACCAAAAAAATAACAAATACTGAAAAGGATATGAAGTAAGAGAAATTCAAGTGAGAATGTAAATTAGTACAACTACTATGAAAAATAGTAGTGATTTTAGTAGTGTTTCTCAAAACACTAAAAACAGATTTATTATATATGTCATTAATCCCACTACTGAATATATACTCAAATAAAAGAAAATCAATATGTCGAAATGATATCTACGTCATCATGTTTATTGTGCTTCTATTCACACACAAAAAAATATATTGAGTCAACCTTAGCTTCCATCAGATGATGAGTGAAGAAAATGTATATATACACAAATGAATATTATTCATTCATATAAAAAGATAAAATCCAGTAATTTTTTGGCCACGTGGATGAACCTCGATGAAATTATGTTAAGTAAAATAAGCCAGGTATTCAAAAAAAAATACTGCATATTCACACTGATATGTAGAAACTAATAGCTTTATAACATAGAAGTGGAGAATGGAATGTTGAATAACAGAATCTGGGAAGGGGAGAAAGGAGGGACAAAGAGGAAGAATATTTTTTAAATAGATATAAAATTACAAGTAGATAAGTGGAATGACTTCTAGAGTATTACAGCACAGTAGAGAAACTAAAGTTGAAAACAATTTAATGTATATTTTAAAATAGAGGAGGAAGGAAGGGTTTTGATTTTTTTTTTCCCTTACTGTCTGTGATGAGATCTATCTCAGAGCCCAGGAGAGAGGAACAATGTTCATGGGTCAAAGTGTTTCTGTCACAGCCTTCAGGGTCAGTGCTTTCAATCAACCAGGTGGGCCCCAAATTTAATACAGCTGCAGAGGACTTTGAATTAGTACAACTCAAAGTAATAATAAATGTTTGAGGCCTCTGCTGCCCTTCTGGGTCCAGCTTCATGGCTGTGAAGCCTGCCACCCAGTCATGCTTCCCCCTCTTCCAGACTCCAGTGCTAGTCAGGACAGAAGTCATACAGGCATCGCCATCTCTTCCTCTGCTGCCCCTTCTGGGTCCAGCTTCATGGCTGTAAAGCCAGACCCCTGTGCTAGTTGGAACTTGTCCAAGCATCTCTATCTCTGCCTCTGCTGCCCCTTCTGGGTCCAACTTCATGATTGTGAAGCTCTCTCCAGTCAGGGGTCCCTCTTCCAGACCCCAGTGATAGTCAGGACAGAACTCATCCAGGCATCTCCATCTCTGCCTCTGCTGCCCTTTTGGGGTCCAGCATCACAGCTGTGAAGCCCCTCCCCCTTCAATCAGGGCCCACCGTCTTCCAGACCCCAGTACTAGTCAGGTAAGCAAATATTCTCTCCCTCTTGTTATTCTTTGTCCCTTCCAACATTTTTTCTCTTTTTTTTTTTTTAGAAAAACAGCATTCTGTCTGCTTCCTTGTGCCTTTCTCTTGCTAATTTGTCTCCTTTTTTCTCACATAGGACAGAACTCAACCAGGCATCTCCATCTCTGCCTCTGCTGCCCCTTCTTGGTCCAGGTTTATGGCTGTGAAGCACCCCACTCCAGGAGTCAGGGCCTCCCCCTCTTCCAGAACCCAGTACTAGTCAGGTAGGTAAAGTCTCTTTCCC